AGCTGGTGCGGCAATGCGCGCGCGATGCCTGCGTGCGCAGTATTTGAGAGGCATTGCAGTAGATATTGTTAAGAAAGATGCGCTCTAGATAGGTTCCTCTTACTCTTTGCATTCGCACCTGCGTCTTGGCAATAGCTAGGGGAACGAGGGAGGAAGCAGCTATCTTTCACACAAAGGAGCAATTATACGCTATACCGTAATAGGTGGCGCCATGGTCAAGTCCACCAATCTAGGCCAAAAAGAGGAGCGAAAAGGGGGTCGGATCCAGCGCGATGCCCAATCGAGACGAACAAGGCCTGACCCGCAGCAGTCGCAGGGAGATAGATATATTTTTATTTTATATTTAAACTTACTTTAATAGCTTTATTTAATCTAAATTTTATAATTATTTCTATTATTTTTTATATTTTAACAGCTTTTCTAACATTTTATTATATTTTACTATATTTTACTATAATATACTCTAGTTTACTATAATATACTATAATATACTATAGTTTACTATAATATTCTATAATCTACTATAATCTACTATAATCTACTACTATATTTTTAATTTACTCTAGCTTAGTAAAAGTTACTATAATTATACTATTATAATATATTTAAATTCTTTAGTATTAACTATGCTTTATAGCAATTTATTTTTATTTACTATATTTAGCTTTTATTTACTATAGCATATTATAATTTACTACTATATGCTTTGATTCGCTTTAATTTTCTATAATATACTATAATGTATAATTATTTCACGCAATTTACTATAAATTACTGTAAATTGCTATAAGTTACTATAAATTACTATAATCTACTATAGTATAATATGTTTTATAGTTTTTTATATGCTATGTTTTTTACGCTATATGTTTTTTTAAACTAAACTTTTTTAAACTAACTCTAATTATATAATTCTTAATTACTTTTAATTATAATTAATTAAATCTAATTATAGTAATTACACTTAAGTAATTAATTAGATAATTACCTATAGTTCTATAATTAATAACAACTCTAGCTTTAGCTGCTCTAGCAGATCAGCTAAAACTACTTTAAATAAAGCAAACACAAGAAAATTATAGATTATTTTACATTATATAGTTAATATAAATTGCTACTTTAGTAATTTATAGTAAATGTAATCTAGTCTTTCTAACGCCTACTTTACAACAACTTAAATTATCAACTTCTATAATCTATTACCTACTACTCTATACTTTCTATTTGCTTTAAATACTAACTAATTAGAATACTTATTTTAAAAGCCTGTTTCTTTTATCTCTTACACTTTACTTTCTTAAGCTAGGTATAAACCTATATATAGTAAGTACTTTATAAAGTTATAGCTTTATTATAGGTACTATACTTTTTCTTAAAAAGTTTTTACTTATTTTTTTTAGCTAGTTAGAAGAGTTAGTAGAACAGTTAACTAAATAATTAGTTACAATAGAGTAGATTAAAACAAAAAAGAAGGTAAAAGAAGTAGAAGTAGAAAAAAAGTAGAGTTGAAAAGTTAATAGTTAGGTACTAGTACTTCTGCTAAAAACTCTCTTCTTAGCTTTTTAAAATAGTTTTACAGTGTAAACTATACGCTTAGCCTACTAGAAATTACATAGAGTTAGATTAGAATTAGAAGTAGTTAGGCGATGCTAGAAAACAGCTTTAATACTAAATATAAAGCTTAAGCTTTATAGACTTGTAAGCTGTTTTATTGCAACTTTAAGCTAGTAATAGTTAAGCTATCTCTTAGTAAGCTTCTACTCTTTAGTGTCGGCGTTCACAGGTAAGGATAGAGGAATCGTTACTAACTTTATCTAGTAGCAGATGCTAGTTTGTCGCATCTCTTGCATTAAGTTTTAACATGAAAGCTTAAGCATGCGGATCGTGACACGCGCTATTCACCGCCCTTTGATAGAGTCTTTCTACCTCTTATTGCCTAGCATGCTGATTGTGACACGCGCTATTCACCGC